CTTCATCATATTACAATCTGTCAATATTGAGAAACTGGTGTGTTTCAACGAGGCGAGATCTGTGACGGCTAATTATGGACGAGGCCCCGTTATTACCACATGGCGATCAGATCCCATGCATGCGTCACGACTGACGCGAGTCTCGAGTAACGAATTGCGTCATTTGTGGCTAACGATTAAGTGGCCCCAATGTGAGTGTAGGCTTCTTTATGGTATGTTCATGTAACTTGGTGGATTCGCGTGGTAAGGAATAGGGTCCCGCCGATGATTTTCCTGAAGAAGCCCAAGAAGCAAGCACGAATGTCATTCGCGGTATCAGTTCCGTGACGAACGGGGGCAAGTACGCCTGGCCAGCTATTGTAGTCGGTGCAAACTTTCCAGTTGAGGAAACGTGTCAAGACTGTGACGTGATGACGCATCAAAGCGCCAACAGCTGACTGGAACCAGTCATAGAGGGAGCACAGGTGCCGCTGTAATTCAACGCATGTCGGGGCATACGCCAAAATGGCATTAGACGTCATCTGTATGACATTTACGCATCAACAGACAAAGATCCTATATGATACCTAATGCACGGAACGACCAGTTGACTCTTCGGGATAAGAGGATACCCACACCGGTGCGGTTTGATCTAGTGGCCTGACCACCAAAATTATCACTCATCCTGCAGGTCAGGCATTTCTTTCCTCGGGAGACGAGCTTCCGTGACCGCGATTACATCAGATTTGTACATTTGGACCACATGGCGGATATTGCCCAACTTACTTTCGCCGATTTAGAAATGAACATTAGAGCAAGCAACACGCAATGTACTTCGTACGGTGTTTACATGCTTGTAGCCGGATTTCTTGGTCCTACCTTGTCGGGCTAATTGTAAGCGTGAACTCATCACTCCGCAACTCAATTCCACGAGAGCAAGGTGGTTTCCACCACTCTAAGCGAGATATCGCCTGCCTTTATGCACACACGCTATCAGGGCTCAAATTTGAACGATTTTCGGCCACGTAATTCTGACTGGTTTTTAGAAATGTCATTATGTACTAAACTGTAACAGTTTGTCAATGTGATCATTTCTGAATTCTGAACAGGCAATAACACAGACAATGTTCAAGGATATTTGGTCCAGTTTGAGGAAGGACATACCTAAAGATTCATGGAACTTATTTGCTTTAATCATCCCGACTCGTTCGAAATTGCATGCATTGTGCACACATTCGACGAATCATTCGATATGTTGGTGTTTTAGTGACAAGTACATTGTCCTGTATGACCATCATATAACAAATAATTTTCCAGAATCAAAGCGAAAGAAAGCAATTATCAGTTCATTTAAACAAACTCCTATAACACGTGAAAAGTAACAGTAAAAGTAAAGTAACACAGGAGACACCCTCTCAATATGCATTAAGCATATTCCCATCAGCTTCAGATATCGAAATAAAAAAATCAGCAAATTCTCTTCCGGAATCCTTGTCTACAAGCATCGTTATTTTGGCCGGAACACCGCAGTCGACAAAAGTGGCAGTCCACTTTCTGGAAGCGAGCAGATGCACGGCATACATAGTCATGCCAGATGGTTGCAGCCAGTCGTTAGGACGATAGGAACAGAGGTAAGCCATTGGAGGTAAAGCGAGTGAGACATGTTTTGGAAGCCACGCTACACGCCTAAACAAGAACAATATAAAAGGCGGAAACGAAATATGGATATGGCATCAGAAAAGTATCTGAACAATAAACATTTCACAATAAATAATTGAAAATGTAATTCCATTTGTACAAAAATCTGACGAAGACGCAGCTGATAGACTGATCTATTTACACATAATGAAAGCATGCGCAGAATTAGCAAAAAATTATTATAAACGAAGCTGTTCTGGATTATGAATAATATCAAAAGAAATAATATCAATAATATCAAATATCTGGATCAATAATATCAATTCGGAAATCGTCTGAAAGCCTTAGAACCGCTTGGTTACAATCAGTCAGTTTATGCGAATGACTGAAGTGATCAATATAAAATTGTTTTAGATCATGAAATGTGTCTAATGGCTAACATCTAGCGTTTCAACCAGAC